TAAGATGAAGGGGGAATGCGACGACTTCACCAACTGCGGCGTCCACCAGCGCCGCCGCCCCGACGGGGCCGTGACGCTCGACAAGGACGAGTACATCGACGCCCTGATACCCTCAGGCACGTCGACATGGTCCAGGCGAAGGCCGACGATCCAGCCAGATGTCAACAACCCGACCTTCATCTTCTTGCTGGGAGCAGCTGCTTACGTCCTGCTCACCCAGCACCGCGTCGCAGCGCGCGTCGTGGCGCCGCAGCGGGCCAAGAGCAAGCTGCTTGCACGGTGCATCATGCAGCTGAATTCTGCGGTCCTCGCCGCGCAGAAGATGAGGGCGCGCGCCGCGTTTCCTGTCGTGGAACGCGCCGGTCAGATCTGCGCGCGCAGCGACGGTCCTTTCAAGAGGGAGTCAGGATGCGGTATGTGGCGCTGGCTCCTTGCGCCTCGGCAAGTGTCGCAGCGCCAGCATGGTCTGCCGCTTGCTTGATGCCGTGGGCGGATCACATGCTTGCGCGTAGGTCTTCCTCGTCCCTGTCCTGCTCGCGGCAAGCGGCGCAGCCGACGCTTTGCGGGGCTGCTTCCTCGGTCTCGACGAGGCGAAGCGGGCCCCAGTCGCAGCCGTGGATATCGGGGGGCGAGGGAGGAAGGTGTTTACGCTATTTCTGCAACCGTGGTCGTGGACGACATGTCTGTCTTCGTGGTCATCGCCGCAGGTCCACTGCGTCCGCTTTCAGATCGCGGCGTGGCAGTCCACCTTCGGAGGCTCTCCGACCAGCTCCGTGGCATTCAGATCACCGACATGCCCTTGCGCGTTGCTCGCGGCGCGAGGGCCGACCCCATGACTGACGGGGGGCGTCGGCTGGGATGTTTCCTTGGACGCGCTGCGCGGGGAGCTTTAGCGCGACCGCCCCGCGGCCGGACTGAGCGACGACAGGCGCAGGAAGACCGTGTCGAGCACAGCGCAGCGACCTCAGACGGCGGAGGAAAGTGCATCGCCTGCGGAGTGAGCAGCCGGCAGTTTCACTGCATGAACCTCGGATGCAGGATCTTTCGCCAGCGGTCGCGCGTCGTTGACATGGGGGGCGACGGAGGCAATCGCGTGGGCGAGCTGTGTTCGAAAAAAGCGACGTGGCAGAATTAAGGAGAGACAGCCGCATAGGCGAACCATGTTTGCGAGTGCGGCTTAGCGAGTCATCCACGAGGGTCTGCCCCTGCATTCTGTGTTCGTGGGGCAGCAGCGTTTGCCGTGCAACGGGTAATCATCCATGGGAAACAGACGAACCCATCCCCCTCGCTGCGACTGTCTTTGAGGCCTCGTTGGTTGCGCCCCGCCTTGCGCGCTGTAGCCGACGGCGCGCGTGCGGATTCGTTGAGCGCCAGACTTGAACTGTATGTCTCCTGTCGACCCCTGCTCTCTGCCCCCTTATTTGTCTTCCTTTTCCGTTGCTGTTTGGCTCTGGGTACAGGGGCGGGCGCGATCGATGTGAACTTGTGCCGCGCGGGCCACTCGCGCGCGTCGGCCGCGCGCGCGTGTCGAACTAACTCCCCAGGAAAATATTCGTCGCCGACGCGAGGACATCGGCATCGTCATCCGCGGGCGTGATCAGCGTCGGCGCTGCCATTGACGTTGCCGGCGTCCTCGCTGCCGTGTTCACCATCGTCGCTACTCTCGGGATCGCGTCTGCTGCTGTCGGCCTCGCCATGATGCTGCGCCCGCCCAAGTCGCCGACTTGCGCTGAAGTGCCCGCTTGGGAGTGCCCAGCGGTCAGCGCTACCGCGGCCACGTCGGTCGCGCCAGACTAGCTGGCCGCTTGATCAACATCGGCGCCGTCATTGGCCTTGCCGTCGTCATCGCCACCATCGTCAGTCTCACCGTTCGTTTCATAGTCGTGTCTACCCCTGTCGACGTCGCCATGATACCGCGCCCGCCCAAGTCACCGACTCGCATTGAAGTGCCCGTTGGGAAGTGCCCAGCGGCAAGCGCCACCGCGGCCGCGTCGGTCGCGCCAGAGTAGCTGGCCGCTGCGCGCGCGAGCATGCGCAGGCATGCGCGGCCGCAGAGATGCACCAGCCATTGCCGAGCACTCATCGCAATCGTCGCCGCGCGGGTTTTGCTAACTCAAGGGTGGGTGGGCAGGAGGGGCGCTTGCAAGGGCATGGAATTTGAAATTTGTGACAACGCATTCTTTTTTTTTCAAGCAAGTATTCGGACCCCCCCCCCCCCCCCCCCGCCCCCCCCCACCCCCCCCGCGCCCCTTGGATTTAGCGGCTTCTTTTTGTATAACAGAAATCTTGCGATGGTGCCGCGTCGTCCATCCTGAACGTGAATTCGTGCCATCCTCGCAGGCCAGCATCGGTCTCCCCCTTCGCCCCTCGCAAAAGAAAACAATGGGGCGCGCGCGCGCTCGCTTATCAAAGGCCAGAGTTCAATAATCGCTTGCAGAGAAGGGGCGAAGTGCACGCGAGCGCCGCGTCTCGCCCGCGTGCCGCAATTTTCCAAATTCCTCCGGTCTCGCAAGGACTTCGACATCCAGTGTCCCGGGCACACATAAAAAACACACGGCTTCGCAACAGGAGTTGTCGTAACGAGTTTGCGCTCGCGCTCTTGCGGATTCGTAAGACAACTCAGAGCATGCTCATACCATGCCTCCTAATTGGCCTCTCGCGCGCGCGTATCGAAATCGCCCGGGCGCCCTTGCGCGCGTGCTGTCGCAAGAATGCCTTGCAACAGTCGGGGCGAAGTGCGCGCGCGTCGTCGCGCGCATGCCGAAATCCTTCACACTCCTTCGGTGTCGTACGGATTTCAATCTAACATGGTTTTGTAACATCAGGTTTCAAACAATCCTGCTCTCACGCTCTTGCAGGTTCTTCAGAGAACCTTCGGTCTTCCAACATGTTCATCCAATTCTGCCAAACGGGCCTGCCGCGCCGCATGTTGAACTCATTCGAACGACCTTGCGCGCGTGCTGGGGTTGGGGGGGGGGCACGATCCGCGTCAGAGGATGCCACGCGGGCCATTCTCGCGCGTCGAACGCGCGCGCATGTCGAACTCCTCAACAATTTTCGTTGCCGACGCGAGGACATCGTCATCGATCGGCGGGTTTGATCAACATCGTCGCCGTCATTGGCGTTGCCGTCGTCATCGCCACCATCGTCAGTCTCATCGTTCGTTTCATAGTCGTGTCTACCCCTGTCGACGTCGCCATGATACCGCGCCCGCCCAAGTCACCGACTCGCATTGAAGTGCCCGTTGGGAAATGCCCATCGGCAAGCGCCACCGCGACCGCGTCGGTCGCGCCAGAGTAGCTGGCCGCTCTGCGCGCGAGCGTGCGCGGTGTACCAGCCATAGCCGAGCACTCATCGCAATCGCCGCCGTATGGGTTTTCCAAACCAAATTGCGGGTCGGTGGGTGGGTGGGATGGTTGCACGAGCGTGGGACTTGTCATTTCGTTTATAAAAAAACAAATGAACCGCATAGGTTGCGTGAAATCAAGTGCGTTACGACGATTGATTATCATACCTTGTACTGCACCGCGTAGCTTGCGCCACATCGATGGCTGTACCTTGTATGCTAGAACGCGCTGTTTCATGCACGCGGTGGCTAACATAGTCCCAGATTGTTCTCTGAGTGCTAAGAGGGCTTCACAGTATAAGCAGGCAGCACAGGGCAAGCCAGTTTCTTTTCCACGACTCCCGGCCAGGCTTCGCCGCAGGATTGGGAAGCATTTTCCCAGTCGTTCCCAAAACGTTTGCCGCAATCCTTTGCGCAGCTTTTTCCACACGCTTGAGGAGCTCGTGCGAAACTCCCACTCTGAAGCGCGCGAGCTCTCCATGCATCCACTAAAGCGGCTTTACAAGCGTCTCCGTCAAGTTTGCCAGCCCCCAGGCATCCAGTGACACGTCCTCGCAAACGTCCCATGCGAAACTTCTTTGCAGTTGTCCCAGAGTTCCTTCGAAACTCCTGTCTCGGGCACGCACGCTCCTCAGAGATTCTGTCAAGCGTCCTTGCAGATGTTTTCCAGAGGGTTTTTACGATTGTTGGACTGCTCGGCTATCCGGGTTTTGGACGCCACAGTTGCACATAGTGTTCATTACACAGAACTTGGATTTCACGGGGCCTTAGGGCACTCCAACTCGAGCGTCGCGGCACGGTGGCAGATATTTTCGCAGCGCGCAACGAGGTGGCAGGAGGCAGGGAAAGGAGAAACAACGCACCACTTTCGCGCAGGTTGGCGTGGCAGGAGTTCGCCACCCGCCTACATCGATTCAAGCCTGGGTCCACTGTGTACCCGTCAGGGTGGCGCTGATGGGCGGCGCCAGAGGTCCGCGCCTCGGGGCTGGCGCCCGCCAGTCCCTGGTGGCCGGCGTGCTGCCCAGACTCCCGGGCCCAGGCAGGACACGTGAGTGAGGTCGCCTGCGCCCGACATTCGCGCGTAAGCTGCCCGCGTCGGCTCGCGCGGGCGCGCCTTCGTTTCCAATGCAGCGTTCCGCGCTGGCGGTTTGGGCAAGCCACTCCGTAAGGTCGCTGTGCCATCGTGCGTAAGACCCGTTTCCTTTGGACGCTCACGTGGCGCCGGAGGTCCGGTCCTGGGCCCGTTTTTTTGGAGGTCGGAAAGGGATTTGGCATAAAGGGGTATGATGCCAATCGCGGAAATGGGGATGCTAGTTGCGATAAGTAACATCGCCAGAGTCCCCTTTGCATAGCATTAACAGCACACCCTTTATACCATGCCCCTTTCTTCGGATGCAACTCGTGGGAGGTCAAATTCTGATTTTGCCCTGGTCCGAAATTCCGCTTAATCCGGCTTCATCCCGCTTAATCCCGCTCAATTCTGCTTAATCCTGCTTAGTCCGAGGCCCACTCCAGCGTAACAGCTCCCAAATGGGGCTCAATCCTCCTGAATCATTCCGACGAAAACCTTCCAGTAGTTGCCTCCTAACCTTTCCCACCTCCAGAGTACCTCCGCCCGCGCCCCGTCCTCGGCCGCTGGCGGCGCGCGCCGCAGTCCCTGGTGACCGGCGTGCTGCCCGGGTTCCCGGGCGCCGAGCCCGAGGCGTTGCCCCCCCGCGCGGCCGCCGCCCAGTCGTCGTTGGAAGAGTTTGCCGGTGTCCCAGGTGGTCTCGGGCCCGACGAAAGGGGGGGGTTGGGAAAGGGGTGGGTTACGAAATTTGCTGCATGCAGCTGGTTTCGGCCCCGCCGCCGGGCCCATTCCTCGATACAAGGGCGCCTCCTGGCGCCGGGCAGGCGCAGCGAAAATCAGCTACGTCAGCTGATTCCCCCCCTTTCGCCCGGCCCGATGGTCGGGGGTGGATAGACCTCCTACCCTGACACGTCGATTAGTGAATTGGCCGTTCTCGGTTCTCGAGAGGGCGCCGCGGCCGTCATTTTCCAGGCGTGTGCCCGCCAGATTTGGGCCCGAGGTCGTTTTCACCAAACCACGTTTTGCTAAAGATGGTTCTGTCCATACCCGAAGTGATTCGGTTCTCGCCGGCGGGACACGTGGTCGGTGCGTGCCGTGTAGGCGCGGTGGCCATCCGACCGCGGGCGTTCGAGGTCGAGGGCCGCCGGTGGCCCCAGGATCGGCAACCAGGATCGGCAAATGTGGAACGGTCCAGCGATCGAAAGGCCCGCTGATCGTTGAAGGTTCAACGATCCAAACGATGTCAGGAACCAATGCCGAGGGGTCGTCACGGCACAGCCTCCTTGCAGTCTGGGTTCCTCAGACGCGACCCCATGGAAGCAGGTCTGCTCTGCGAGGATGCCCCGTGCTGAACATACTCCGAGTTTCTTAATATGCGTCGGGGGGGGGGGCGTTACCCCCGCCGACAGCCCCACATCGACCCCCATCACGGGCAGCCACCGCGCGCCAAAGGCGCTCCGACCCCCGTCGCGGCGCGACGACGAGGCGAGGTTGACCCCCCGTCGGGGGGGTACCCCCCACGCTTATTAAGAAACCCAGAGTATCCATGGAATCGCTGATCCACGACATTGCGCTTCGGTGTCCAGTCCGCGAGGCCATGGATACGGATGTGTCCGTTGCCCGTGTGAGACGTCGTGTCCCCTGGGCCTCTCGATCCCCTCGTGGGGTCTGCTTTTTTACCCTAGATCGTTGTTGGGGTGTACGCCGCTCCCCCCCCCAAGTTCAGAGGCCAACGTCGGCAAAGGAACTCCGCCACGGCCATTCTCGAGAAGTTGGAGGTCTGTGTCGTCGTGGTCGTTCTGCCGCTGCTGCTGCTCGTAGTCGTCGAACTGCTGCTCATCGTTGTCCTGCTGCTGCTGCTGCTGCTGCTGCTCGTCGTCGTCGTCGTCGTCGTCGTCGTCGTCCTGCTGCTGCTGCGCCGCGGTCCCCGCCTCGCGGGCGCCACTCCTTGCCAGCCCCGTGAGGGGAGGGGGAGGGAGGAAGGGAGGATGGAGGAGGGAGGAGGTGTTCTGCGGAGTAGGAGGAGGTGGAGGAGGAGAAGGTGCAGGGGGAGGAGGTGGAGGAGGAGGAGGAGGAGGAAGAGGGGGAGGAGGAGGAGGACAGGGACGAGGCGCAGGAGGAGGAGGAGGAGGAGGAGGAGGAGGAGAAGGGACGGGGAGGGCGATGAGGGGGTCTACTTTGGATTGTCTGGTTAACCCAGAGGCCAATTTGTGACATGCACCCGAAGCGAAGTGCAACCACCCCGCAGTCGGCACCGGCGCCCCGAGTACGAATTGGCCCCGCAACGCCCGAAGTACACTTCCCTCCGCAGGTCTGGGAACCTTTCGTGTCCCCGCAAGTCCGCGCCCACACCGTCCCAGCGGCTCTACACAGCGCGCAGATAAGGATGGGAAGCGGAGGAGCAGGAGGAGAAGGAGGACGACGAAGAGGAGGAAGAGGAGGAAGGCTTGCCGCCCGCGCGCACCACACGCGCAACTCACCAGCGAATGAGGGATCGTCGCAGAACGGCAAGAGCATGATCTCGCTGCAGGGGCGTCGGCCCGGGTCGCACGCCAGCGCCTGCTCTCGGCGCCACTCGCAGCGCGGACTCGTCCGCCCCACTCCTCCTGCCCCCCCTGCGCCTGCCATCGGCGCCTGCACGAGCAGCAGACGCTCGTCATAGTCCAGCTCGTCCCCGAATCTCTCGTCGACCACGGGGGCACTCGCCTTCCCCACCACCGCGGCGGACACCACGTGCACGACACCCTCGGCCGAAGCCACGCATGCCGCGGGGCAGCCCCGCGCCACCGCCGCGCCAGCGCCCCGCAGCGGCTGAGGATGAGAGCCTCGCGCCGTCCAGGCGCCTCCGAATTTTCACGTCCAAGCATTAGTGGCCATGCGGGAGGTGCAACGTCCTCGAGCGGGAACGCGTTGAAGGGCGGCTCGTGCAGCAGCTGCCATGCGGGAAGTGCACTGTCCTCGAGCGGGCACGCGTGGACGGGGGGATCAGGCTTTAGCTGCCATGCGGGAAGTGCACTATCTTCGAGCGGGCACATCGTGGACGGGGGGGGGTCAGGCATTAGCTCCAATGCTGGAGCTGCACCAT